TCCTACTCCTTTTGATGACATACTGCCGCAGACCATAATGGATGCTGGAAATTTCACTTTTCTTTTCAGGCAGTCAACATGGAATGCTTCATTTTTTTGCGAATAACTCTACTGCGACTGTCACCAACACAAACTTCGAATCGGGCCTCATCACTCCATTGTATTGCACACCATTGTTGAGGTGTCCATTGTCTATGTTCTTTAGCCCATCTAAGCCGATTTTTCTTTTGCAGTGAAGTTAATAGTGGCTTTTCTTTGGCAACTTTAGGGTTTTTACTTCACTTTTTTCTATAAGAAAACATACCTTGCAATTGCTAAATCCCAGTTTGTGTGCCTCTTTATGAGTTGTGGACCTCGAAATTCTCCTTCCAACAGCGTCACTCCACAGAGCACTTAATTGTAAATAATTGGCACGCCTGTTTTTCACGTTTATTCTTCTTAATGCTCTTCGGTCGGCATTTGTGATTTTAAATTTTTTTAGACATATCGTGCCTTAATATTAACTGAACCAGTTACGTTATATCTTCTAACAATATTTCTCACACTGTACCGCGATAAGTCTAACAAAGTTGCAATTGCTGAGTTTGATTTCCCAGAATTAAAAAACTGAATTATCAGTAACCGAATTTTCTCACTAATAACCTTTCTTCTACCCATTTTGAAAACCTTAACTACCCAAAACTATTTTAAACGTATTCTGACAGCTGTGATTAATAAAAACAATTGTCTTGGCTTTTATTTTTCACAGCCACCTATGCGTTATACTTATTTTGCATTGAAATGAAAATAGGTTGATATGCTGTAGTTGCATTATGTGTTATTTTTATGCTGCAAATTTGATTAGGGAGTGATAAAGTTGGTGTTTTCTACTATATATTATTAAAATATTCATTGTTAATATTTTAAACCTATAACACCCTGCTTCATTTTTATTATTTGTGTTTGATAAGAAAAAAACTAAGATTTCAATAGTTGGGCCAACTGAAATGGAAAGGGGCTCGTACATATATCCAGCATCAGCTGGAGACTTTTTATAGTACATGTGATGACATTTATTATTAATGATATTGTCTCTGCTACGAGTATTGTAATTATGCATATCGGAATGTATTTTATTTTAAAAAATACACTAATAGCTTGAACATATAAATACAATGCCACATTAAGAATTCGATAACGTTTGAATACTTCTCTGCAAGATGACTGACGAATTCTCCTACGAATCCGAAGCTGGCGCCTAGTCTAAGATATAAATCGTTTAAATTTAGATTTCGCCACAGAGAGATAATTCGAAAACTGTTGGCGAATAAACTGGACACGCGAAATGACATGAAAAGCCTTTCAGTTGTTATTTATAATATTCGAATCATGTCAGGCTGGGCAGCGGGGAGGCTATTGATATTGACGTACTTGTTGTTTATGCTGCTTGAACGTGAATACAGTCAGATACAAGAAATGTTTGCTTTCATTATATTTGCCATTTTTCTTATAAGATTGGAAATTTACAAGTTATATACGACGCGCCATTATCGGACTGATATACAGGGTTTTCGCAAAATAGACGGTGATTCCTTGTTAAAAAATATGAAAAAAAGTTTCTATAAACAAATTTCGGAATTTTTCGCCGTTACGATATTTCCTCGCCAGTTTTGGCAAAGGAAGTAAAATGAAAAGAGCAAAGAAAAACAGAAGTGTAACAGTTTAAGCCGAAACAACCAGTCTTTTTGACTTGGTACACGAACTAAAGACAAATTTTGATTGATTTGATGGGTTGGACATGAGCAAATTTCCAGTTTTCTGGGAAGGTGCCGGATTCATAGGATATCTGGAACAGACGCGCAAGAACTGCACACCTCTTCAATCTAATGGCAGGAATCAAGTCCAGACCAGAAGCTTTGTTGATATCAAGCGACAAGAGCACTCGTCTTACGGTCTTATGCCTGAATGTTACCTCCCGCATAGTGTAGGAAACCCTTTGAATTGAGGGCGCTTTTGCGTTGGGGGACGTCCATGGTGGAGTTGGCAGCAAAGATCTTGGTTAGCACTTCCGCCTTGACCTTTGAGTCTAATACAAAAGTTCCATCCTGACACGTAAGTGGTGGAAGGCTACTGTGTGAGAAGTTATTTTCAATTTGCTTGGCTAGCGTCCAGAAAGATCGACTGCCATTGCGCTGCGAGATTACCCTGTGCCTAACTTTTATATCATGCTGGTTTCTGGCATTGCGAACCGCTTCGTTATATTTATTTCTGGACTTGACGTCGGCTTTTCTGTTCTCTACAGTGGGGTTTTGTAAGAAGGTTCTGTGTGCCTTGATCTTCTGCTGGCGAGCAGTGTCACACGATTTGTTAAACCAGCCACTGGACCCTGGTTTAGGCACCTTCACTGTGTGAGGGATGTATTCCTCCATTCCGACGTGGATAATTTCTGTTATCGAAGAACAGACAGCCGACGCATCCGTGTCAGTGAAACAGACATCTCTCCAAGGAAAGCTAGTTTGCGGCCTGTGCGAGTTTCTGCTGTCACAGCGGGTTCTCACCGAAACCTAACCTCCACAACACCGTGGTCTGAGTTACCCAGGGGAGACAGGGCCGCACTGATGTAATGGACAGGATACGTGGTCAGAAAGAAATCCAGCAGGCTACTGGCTACTGATTCATATTATGGGGCAACCAACGTAATTATGAAAAAATCGATTTGTAAAATAATGTGTTCCAAAAATGCGGTGTCCTTGGTTGATTTGAATAATGCCACGTTTCCATGCATAAACATACATGGTGGCCCACAATGAATGCAGAAGGTAATCCTAGATTAAACTGGTGGAAATTACGATGTTAAACCAAGTAAGCCTCAAGCCACGTTTCCAAAGAATCGGGGTCCAGAAGGAAGCTTTTGGACCCGAAAATAACTAAAATTTTAAGTTGATGGCATATATGAAATTTTGTCAGCCTGTCAAAGTAAGTACTTTTTCAAATTCAAAAACCAATTATCAAAATGATATGTATGTTATTCAAATCTTATCTTGGAGCAATCTATTCGAATGTGTGATAAAATGTGGAAGACTCCATCTATTATGTATCCATCGAAGAAAGATACCAAACTCAAACATATTCACGTATACTCTACGTCATCGCGCTCCAGAACGCCGAGCACGTTATAGGGCCGTACTAAGAATAAATGATTTGTGGTTCTACGACACGATCAAAAAGTATGCAAAATTATTGCGGGCATCTATAGGGTCCAAACGTAAAGCTTGGAATTAATGTATTTTTTTAATTTAACTGTCATGACCAAAAAGAAAACTACTGTCTATTGTTGTTTTTAGTAGAAGTGTTAAATTATACTCGAAATGTGTCGTAAGGCGCATTCATAAAGCAGGCTTTTAAAAAATGTCTTGACACATTAAAACGATATGATATGCATTTGCATACAAGTATACCTAACCACCGCTTGAACAGGGACATCAGTGTGCAAACAGTTAATTTTTAATATTAGACTAAAAAATGAATAGTTAGGTGGAGTTGAAAGAAAAAGGATTTGAATACATAATAATATATACTAAATATTATACAAAACTTTATTGTACAGACATTTTACCTCTAAAACCGGAAATACATATATTTGAAAATGAAAATCATTATAGATCTGAGGCCCTGGAACTCCCACTGTCATCAAGATTTATGATTGAAGGGGCAACGTGAGTATCAATGATACCGTCTAATTCCCACATTTTAGGTTCGACCTTTTCTGTTACATGCTGATACATTTTCCCACTTATTCCGTGTTATTTGTATAGCATCATAAAAAATATTTATAAGGTCACAAAATTTAAAACATTTATTTTCTGCTGCTATATATTTTTTTATGTCTACCCAAATGAGCTCAAACGGATTGAGCTCACAAAGCTAAGGAGGCAGGCGTAAAACAGTTTTATTGTGTGTTGACCATTTCATCAATTATGTTCAGGTTATATTTATTTTTATGCGTCTTGACAATTTGTAACAATTCTGCCTTAACCGTTGTATCATCATAATCAATCTTTTTATTTTTAAGCAATCCTTGAATTTCTGATTTTTTTGTTGACGTTGTTGGAATTTTCTCTAATTTTGTGAAATGACGCATTATCTAATACTATAACCGAATTACCTTCAAGCTTCGGTAGAGAAAAGTAATTCATTTTGGACACTTTAAAACCGCTCCTATTGAAAGCATTAAAAACCAAAAAAATGATTGCCTGATTTCTTATCTCGATATAGTTTAAGCATGTACAAAAACAAAAATAAAATATAATTTTAGTTGAAATTCTTACAAGTATTGAAAAATATGTAGGTGTCAGCTTTGCAAACAATGTCCTGAACACTTGAGTCACTCCTTCCTTGCATTTTGTATTTATAAATGTTGATAATTATTTGTTTTTCGCTAACGCGAAAATGAGGCCTTTTAGCTCTTTTTTTAGGTGGTGTGCAGGCCTTTTAGCTCTTTTTTTAGGTGGTGTGCAGCTAATATCAACAACTTCATCAGCTGTATCCGTATGCGACATTTTGAGTTCTACGAAATTAAACTGACAAATCTAATAAGCACACAGTAATTACTACCAGTATGAATCTGATGCCAACTCTGTACTGTACGGCCAGCCACCGGGACAGCGGGCATGCACGGTCGTATCGTCTCCCACCACCATCTGGTTTGTCATTGGTTTTGTGTATGGGCTCGACCTATTCTACCCAATAACAGTTATGCTCCCTCTCTCTTGAAATATATCAGTTTACTGTTCACGCAAAGCTCTCAAGGTCGTTTGACACCGAAGGTCGGCGCTCAAGGGCGTCCCAGAACATACAAACCCTATCTACTGCTGTACTGTGTTAAAAGTGGGGCCAACTAAGAAGTCAGGTGATATTTTTCAAGCTGGATGTTGACAATGCTACATACTCGAGTATTCTTAGTCTTATTGTTAATTTTGAAAGCTGCGTTGTATAAAATGCAATCAGATTGAAGTTATGTTTTAAATGTTGTGGGCACAATCACTACGCTAAAAATTATAAAAGTAAAGTTCAAGTTTGTGTCAAATGCTCTTTAGATCATAAATTATCTGAGTGTAGGTCGGCCTTATTGAAATGTATCAATTGTGTCAACGCTCGACTCCCAAATACGATTCATGCTGCTTGGGATGTAGACAACTGCACTTTGTATATTAAGAAACTGGCAGACTATAAAAAATCTATTATTGGTGATATATAGCAACTATATTGTAAACAGTTAGAGCCAACTTATGTGAATGTTGATGATTCTGTACCACTTAACCAGACGGATTTTTCTATATGTTACCAAAATGTCAGAGGAATTAAAACTAAGCTGAACACGCCATTAAATGCTTCATATGCTAGTTCTTACGATTTTCTAGATTTGACTGAAACTTGGATTGATAATAGTATTAATGATGCAGAGTTTATGAGTAGCGAATATTGTGTATTTAGATCAGATAGAAAATATGTACAAACAGGCCAAACTAGGGGTGGTGGTGTTTTATTAGCGATTAGTAAGGTATATGAGGCACATGAAGTAACCATTGCATTTTCAGTTTTAGAAATTGATATTGTTGGGATTAAGATTCAACTTGTTTGTAATGCTATCTACGATATCCTCGCTTATATTCCTCCTAATATGCACCTTGATGCTTTTGAATCTTTTGTTGATGACATTTTGGCGATTGATTTTTTTGGTCCAAATGATTTTATTTTTCTTGGAGATTTCAACATTCCCAGTTACGTGAATAAAATGTTGGATGATTCTTACAATAATAGCTACTTATATGCTATCTCTAATATGAGCAGTTTCTTTAATTTAGTCCAATACAGTGGTATTCGTAACGAATATGATCGTATACTGGACTTAGGGCCGATTTCACCATTTCACAAACCATTATTCTGCACCAATAGGGTACGAGTACTAAACAGTCCGTCAAATATACCCAATCAGCCTTAAGTCAAATTTTTGGTAGCTAAATAGCATCAACGTATTCAAAACACTATGCTGTAAAATATGAAGTGACAGCTTGCCATTGAAATGTTTTCAGTTTATTAAATATTATGAAATTATATAAAACTGAGCCAAAATGTAAAAAAATGCCAGTTCCGTCAGAGTTCCGAGCTAGCAGCCGTCACGAGCATACACTCGTGCGACTGCGACCCACCCGGACTTACAGTGCGATCCTACTGTGATTTTCATCACGGTACGATCGCCATCCACGATGGCGAGAATAGAAAAGCTGGCGAGCCAGCTGAAGGAGAAAGAGGAGAACTTCGAAATGCTCGCTGAGCAGATGAAAAATCTGCAAGCCGCATTCGAGCAGGCGAGGGATGAGATCGATGAGGTGAAAAGGAAGCTCCTCAAAGCAAAGAGGAAAGCTAAGAAGACGGAGGAAGATGTAGAAGGAGAGGACCAGGGAGAGGAGGACCAGCAGCCTACGGAGAACTTGGACATGGATGCCCAAGATATCGACGTAGAAGAAGCGGAGAAGAGGACGGACGACACCGATTTCAGTGTCGCCACCAGACGGAGGAAGCGGGTGCGAGTTTCCTCCTCCTCCGAAGAAGAAGAACCCAGGCAGCCAAAGATGCCGGCTGCCACCAAGAAGAGAGGTCCTAGAGCAACCAGGACCACCGAGGCCCCCATGGCAGGAACAGGAGTTCCGCCAATCAATATCGAGGGCACCGCTGATTGGTCTTCCTTGAGTAGGATGATGAACAGCAAGGGGATTCAATTCTCCAAAGCGAGGACGGCGGGTACCAGTGTGAAGGTATTCACAAATACACCAGCTGACTACCGTCAGCTAGTCGCACTGCTTGAATCCATCAAGCGGCCCTTCTTCACATATCAACTGAAGGAGGACAAGATGGACCAGAGGGTCATCCGTGGGCTTCCGAGAGAGATGTCAGTCAATGACATCAAAGAGGATCTGGTGAGCCAAGGCATCGCAGACGCCGTGGTTCAGCAGCTGACCTCAAGGACCACAAAGAAGCCACTTCCGCTCTTCCTCGTCAAGACGAAGATGCCGGAAAAGCTTGCAGAGATCCAGAGGCTGGCCATGCTCACGGTCAGCTTTGAGAGGAAGAAAAAGTCTTCCGAGCCCAGCCAGTGCTACCGCTGCCAGCGGTACGGGCACACACAGCGGAACTGCCGTCTCGCTGAACGGTGCGTTAAGTGTGGAGAGGACCACAACAGCACCAGCTGCAGTCTGCCAGCGCCGCCAACAGGGCAACGAAACGCCAAGTGTTGCCTCTGTGGAGAAGGCCACCCCGCCAACTACAAGGGATGTAGTAAGGCGCCGAAGAAAGCTGCTTCTGCCCCCAAAGCAGTCCCCACCAAAAATAGGACTTCTTACGCCCAAAAAGTGAAGAAGCCTATGTCCACTTCTGCCCCAGCAGCCGCCACTGCTACTGGAACTACTGCGCAGAAGCAACACGGCGATGACAGACTGCTAGCAATGATGCAAGCCATCATAACCCGCCTGGATGCACTCGAGGCCAAGATGCAAGACAAGCACTAGACCCGAAATGTCTACAGGTCAAAACGTAGAATCTCTACGCATTATCTCCTGGAACATCAACGGTTTCAGGGCACGGAAACCAGAAATCCAGGAGATACTAGACCAGTACCAACCAGAGGTGATGGCCATCCAAGAAACGAAGTTGGATGCTGCCCATAATCTGACGTTCCCGCGGTACGAGACGTACCGCTACGACAGAAGGGGCAGAGGTGGAGGAGTCGCATTACTCGTCAAACGTACCTTGACGAGTCATGTCCTCGACGATGCCGCAGACATAAATGGGGACGGAATCACGGTCCAGGTCCATCACAACCACCGTCCCTACAGAATCACCTCCCTATATGTGCCACCAGGGGAGGCCCTAGACGAAGATGACATCGCTGACCTCCTGAGAGGCCCAGGAGCACGCATAGTCATCGGAGATCTAAACTGCAAGTCTCCGGCTTGGAACAACAACGTCGAAGACAGGAATGCAAGGCAGCTCCAGGAACACGTCGATGCCCTGGCGGGGGTCATCGTCGGTCCGGAGCAACCAACCTACATTCCATTCGGCCTTGGGCGACCTGCGGTACTGGACATAGCCATCCTCCGCAACATCAGAGAGGAGTTCGAGATAGAGACCCTGGTGGAAGGATCGTCGGACCACAATCCGATTCTACTAACACTTGGTACAGGGTCTAGAACTCGAGATAGCTTGAGCACCAAACGGACGAACTGGAACCTTTACAAATCCAACGTCCAGAGGAACATCACTCAAATTCCAACCATCCGATCAGCGGAGGAACTGGACAACGCAGTAGAGGAGCTGGAGAATGCTGTCCTGCGAGCGCACGAGGACAGCACCCGCTCCGAGACTACGGCAGTTCCTAGATACCTAAATGGTCCAGCACCGCACCATATTAGGCACCTGATCAGGGAGAACAGAAGACTCAAGCGAGAACATCTCCAGCTGTTGACAGAGGAGTCGAGAGTTGCGCGAAACAGAGCATCGTTAGCTCTGAAGAACGCACTCGCGGAACTCCAAAACAACAGATGGAATGCAGCCTGTGCAGAACTAGAGACCCAGGATGGTACGGCCTGGTCTATGCAGCGAAAATTTCGTCGTCAGCGCACCACGATCCCCACTCTTCACGGCCAACGCGGCTTGGCCTACTCCAGTGAAGAAAAAGCCGAAGCATTCGCCGATTCGCTAGAATCCGAATGCAGACTCAATTACCATGAAGACGAGGACGACAACCACGAGGAGGCCGTGGAAGTCGCAGCCGAAAACATGAGGAGTCGACCACCTGGCCAGGAGACGGATCACCCCTCCAGTCCAGAGGAAATCCGTCTGATCATCCGCAGGTTGAAGGTCAGAAAGGCGCCGGGAAGGGACGGCATCAACAATAGGATGCTGAAGAACCTTCCCACCAAAGGCATTGCTGCGCTCACCAACATCGCCAATGCCACTCTGAGACTTAACCACTTCCCGCGGCGGTGGCGGGAAGCCCAGGTTATAATGCTCACCAAGCCAGGCAAGGACCGGAAGTTGCCCCAGTACTACCGGCCCATCAGCCTGGTTTCCTCGGTGGGCAAAGTAGTCGAAAAGGCTATCGCCGTTCGACTAGAGAAGCAGGCAGAAGAACTGCAACTTCTCCCCCCAGAGCAATTCGGCTTCAGATCCTCCCACAACACGGAACTCCAAGCGCTACGACTGACGGAAAACATCACCAGCGGCTTCAATCTCCAGGAGGCAACCGGTCTCGTCCTGCTGGACGTGGAACGAGCCTTCGACCGAGTTTGGCACGATGGACTCATCGCCAAAATGGAAGCCGCCGGAATCGATGCGAACATGTGCCAACTGATCCAGAGCTATCTAACACAAAGATGGTTCACGGTGAAGATTGGTACATGCCATTCAACAAGACGTCAGCTGGAAGCAGGCGTGCCCCAGGGGTCAGCCTTAGCCCCCCTGCTCTACAACATCTATACTTACGATGTGCCGAAGACAGCTGACACAATGCTGGCCCTATATGCAGACGACACTGCTATAGCCGCCAAGCATAGACGACCCGAGATCATCCGTAGGAGACTACAGGGTGAACTGGACCAAATTCAGGACTGGTGCGTGAAATGGAAAATCCGCATCAACGTCCAGAAGACGCAGGCAATCTTCATTCAACGAAGAAGGATTGCAAGACCTCTCGAAGCATCCATCTTCGATGAAGATATCCAGTGGAGCGACAATGTCAAATATCTGGGGATCGTTTTTGACAAGTCCCTCACCTGGAAAGCGCACATAGAAGCTGTCATCGCAAAAACCAAAGCAGCCATGGCTCAACTCTATCCATTACTGGGTAGACACAGCCAGATGCCGCTAGTGACCAAGCTACGGCTGATCAAGGCCATCGCCAGACCTCAGCTCGCTTACGCCTCCGCGGTCTGGGGGTACGCTGCCCCCAGCTACCGCAAGCGACTTGCTGCTCTAGAGATGAAGCTACTCC